TTTTCCACGTCTTCGAAGACGGTCTTCGAGGACGGCATCGAAATTCTGAAAGCAAAGCTTGCTTCGAAGCCCCGTTGTCGGAGTTTTGGCATGTTTTGGCATTACGGCTTAGGGCTGTATCTGTAGGGCCGAAGGGTTCAATGTCGTGGCTTCATAGCTAGAATCTGGGTCTGGTGTAGTTCTATACTGCCTAAGGAATAGTATTGGCAAGTACTTGGGGCCCTGCAGTAGGGCTGTGGGGTTGAGGCTTCGGGCTTTGAATCGAGAAATCCAGGATTGAGGAACTAACCATATTCGGTCATGGGTTAGCCTCGCGGGTCTACCGGTCTACCTGGTTTCCGGAATAGCTGCAGGGGCCGCGGTAAAACACACTATCGGCAAAGCGTGGTCGAGCCGCCACTTCTTGAGGTTAGAGAACTGCTCGGCCTCATCGCAAGGCTGGCACTATGAGTCAAGGCACGAAATCGCGCATCGTTCATACCCATCGGCTGACGAGGCCTATCTCACTCGTGATGTCGTGTAATGAATGCTTTCACCTGGATAGGGCCGGCGCGGTGACAGCACTGGCAGTGGCATTCCTGAGTTGCAAATGATTCCAAACGATCCGGCAATGCTATTCAGATTGTGATGTACGGCATGCTGCACGCCCTGATGGCATGCAGAGAGCCCGGTTGCTCCATGAGTTCAGCTCCACTGCGGATCGACCTCATCAACCTGTTTACTACTCTTGAACCGGCTGACAGGCTGTGGAAACCGGCACTTTTGCACTCCGAACCTGCCATGTGCAGGCCAGGTCATCCGTACTCTCTAGTGTTCATGAAACCTTCGCGGCAGACTCTTGCAGTCTCCCTCCCACAGAGCTCCACTGAGCACCCCGGCTTGTAAAGCTCTTTCTGCAGCCCGTGTGCATCATGATGAAACCACCTCAGAGGACTTTCTGAGGCTCACAGTGTTTGGCTGGGGCCGAAAGTGAGGATCAATGAGGTCCTGAATTGCTTGTGACACTGGCTTCCATGGGCCCTGTCGACCGGGTCTCCGGCCTCACCGGGTTCCACTCGTCAAACTGTGGCGAGATAATGCCTTATTATGGGAACCAGGCTGCGGATCAATGGAGACTACATCATGTTACATGGATCTCTGTCATCGAACGCAACTCTCATGAACTCTTTGGCTGGATGCAGCCCTCTTGAAACGGGCGGGCAGCTCGGCATACAAATGTATGCCCTCCACTTGCTGGCTCCCTTGCGCTTCGTCCTCTGAACTTTTTCGGCCACAGCACCCAGCACCTGTTCGCTCCGCTGTGCGTTCCGCCTCCTCGTGTCTTGAAAGCCGCAAGGAGGCTACTTACAAAGATTCTGCACACATCTTCCCAAGGCAAGAATGGACATCTTGCCTGCTTGTGCTTCCGAGAAAATTGCAACACAGCTTAGGAAGTCCCGTGCTTGTTCTTGCATGTGCAGTTTTAGCTGTGGTCTAGACTGAGGAATACAGTCTGCAATTGGTATGGTATCTAGGCTTGCTGATGCTGGAACAAAGAAGGTGTTTGAAAGGAATGCTCTGAATGGGGGCCGCGAGCTTCCGTGCCCAACTGGCATCGAAGCTTTGAAGTCCCTTGCACGGGATCAGCCGTGTCCCCTGCGAAGTTACAACCCGAAAAACGATTACCTTCCATTGCCTGTCGAATGTGCATCTGCCTCCTCAGAACAGATGCATCTTTCCAACATGCGAGAATTCGGGTGTGAAACGAGACAGAAACTTTCTCATCTTGCTAGGCTACAAGCATGATGAAATTCAGATTCGGACCTGAGGTGCAGGTAAAGATATAGGCTAGGCCGTTTTGGCCTCAAGGTAGTCTTGGCCTTTCAGACGAGAAGATGCCATGATGTGGCATTCTCGCAGCTAGAGCGATCCACTCTTTTGATCTCATCGCGTGAGATGGGCACCTTAAGGTCCGAGAGGGTTTGCAGAAGATCCTCGAGGATGCTCTCCTCGACCACAGGCTTTCGGGTTGCAACCTCCACTACTTTCATCAGCTCTGACCAACCTCAGTCAGTCGGGCAAACTGTCCTCTTTTGAGTGCCAGAAGAAGACATGCAGACACCGGCGACCTTGACCTCTCAGCTAAAGGGCGAAACCATGTCACGGACGTACCTTCATAGACAAGACACAAGAGTATAAGATCATTGCATCGTACTTGGTCCCTGAAGCATCGGGGATGATGTCCACGACAGCGGTGGGCATGCCGATGAGAGAGCCGCCTGGAAAACCTCCCGGAATCGTGACATACTTTCTGTATATGCCAGTCACGCCTTTGCTTTCATAGTGCTCCTTGATCGTGAAGGGGCCGCCGTGGTAGAGGACGCTGAAATTGGACTCCAAGCGGTCAACATCATGACGGAATTCCAACTCCTGGCAGGAAGCACCGTGCTGCGCGAAGTCGGCGTAGAGCTGCCTCGGTCTAAAGCCTACCATGCCCTAACATACCTACACCTGCCAGCATGCTCTTCTGTGTCGCTCAGAGCACCTGTACCGCACCTTGATAAAACAAAGCAGCCAAAGACCCTGAACTAGGAAGACCCAGTTGGCCATGGCATTATAAACCTTCTTCTCCATTCCTGTCGGGACGCTCATACCAAAGGCCGTCAAGCCTGGCCGGGTCGAAGCCATTCTTCACCTGGCAAGGGGGGGCGCAAATGGCATTGACTCCAATTCTCGGTGTGGTCAAATTTCACAGCTCAAGATCCAGCTTGAACGTCACGGCTGAAGACCTGTCAAATAAGAAACGAGCAGACGCAGGCATGGTGCACCGAGTACACCAAAACCTCAAGCCTTGACTTCAATGACTTCAACCAAACGACGCAGAGTTACCCGAGAGCTGCGGAACTCTGCCACTGCATCGAAGGAACCTGGGTCCGAATCTATTTTCATGTATGTAAGGCTTCGTGAACTTGACACTACCCGAACCGATTCCATCTCCATGTCCCCCTCTTCCACGCTCCAAGCAACAGTCTGCGGATGAAGACGTGCACAATAATGGCAGCAGCAGCCAGGGGATCCTGCTGGCAAAAACAGTTCATTTTTTCACAAGGGACTCGACTGCTGCCCTTACTGCCAAAACAGTTCATGATTCTGCAATCTTTCTTGGTATCCATGCAGAAATTCCCGACAAAAGGGTAGGTGGGCAGTTTGTCCACAGGCACACAGACACACACTCGCATGCACCCACGCATCTTCGCACGCACATGCACGCCCACACCCACCCATCCACAGACAGACAAGCAGGCAGACGGACAGACAGACACATGCACACACACACACACGCAAGCACAGACACACACTCGTGCAATCCTCCCTCTGATTGACTTGTTCTCATGAGACACTCCTATTCTCCGCTGCGAACACATATCGCCGCAATATACCCCACTGGGCAGCATGGTGGGGTTCTGCACACCATAACGATGCAGAAACACTTGCAGAATCACTTGCAAGTACGCTTCGTTGATCAGACCCAGTATCAGCTGTGGCATAGCTCTCTTCGTTGGGCAACCAACTATGTTCACGGGGTTGCTCCCTTTCCTAAAGTGACATTGAACAACAGAATGGAAATTCATCAGAGTACTATCCCCTGGTAACAGGGTTCCACACCCGCAAGAAGCCATGCAGGCCTGTGTGTAGCAGGAAAACTTGAACCTTCATTTAGGGAAACCAATATGGCTAGATGGTGTTAGTCTCGGGAATCAGGCGCAACTCGTACAAAGAAGACTGGCGTGTGATGGGCTCGGTGAGGGCTGCATGTCGGCCAGCCTGCTGAAACGTTGGCAGCTGGGATCTTCCTTCCGGTCGTTTCTTTTACCTGGTATCGGAGTATCGGAGGACTTTCTTGACGTGGTCCACGTTACCCGATGAGTGGCAGATGAGATGGAAAATCATGGCTTCTCCTCGAGTGCAGCTATCAGGTGGAACATGTACTTTCCACACGAACCAGATGAGAATCTGTTGGAAATCCTGCTTGCGCCGATGTTCTCTTCATGGCAGAATCTAACGAAAACAAACTTCTGATCCGAGTTGCTAGTCACTCACATAAACAGCGAGCTCTCAGAAAAGCAGAGGCGGCGAATGATGTGAAAAGTGTAAAAGTATGAAAAGTGAGACTGTCACATACTCTTCAATTGTGAAGTGAACCGATAGGTTCTTTGTGATAAGGACGAAGGTTCATGCTGGTCCCGCTTTCGAAGTGGGTACTGACGGAAAAGGCTTGGCTTCAGGACACGTATGAGATGCCTTTGGCGATGACCCCGAGGTAGGCTCTTGTTGCAACGAACGAACTTGTGGATCATAACATCGGCAGGCTGTGGTCGTACTCGCTGAATAAGAGAAAGCTTCTCGATTTTGACGACACCTGGTAAGTACACGGCCTGAGCTGCTCGCTTGCTTTGGTATGCTGGGTAAGTCTTCCCGGCCCATGGCTGGCGAAACCAAAACGTACCCCAGTGAGGAATGCGAGCTGCTGAAATGAAAAAAGCATGGTTGATGGATCTTGTATACCTGCAGTTGCTAAACAGAAAGCTCATATCCAAAAGGTCCCGGTGGGACATCGGGTGAGGTTGACCAGCTTATGGGCTGCTGGTAACAGTTCCAAGAATTAAAGCCTGCTCAGTCGTGGTGATGTGGATCGCTTGCGTTTTCGCGGGGATTCATTGGCCGAGGAAGAAGCAGCAAAAACTCGATGTTTTTGGCTTTGCTGATTGTTGCGATCTTGAAAACACCGTCTTTGTAACCACTCCGGAGTGGCGGGAAACCAGATTTTCCACCATTCATTTCCATCTGCAGTCCAGTGGAACCTCCATAATTTTTTTGCGGATCGGGATCTTGGAAGCTCGGGCATGATACTGAGCTGATATGAGAGCAAGAAGGCTACGAAAGGGTGAAACATGCAATCCGAGCTTGGAGAAACCATCAACCAATCATGACAAACATCGAGTGTGGAAAGCTGTCACTGATTGCCTACTGGAAAAATTCATGCCTTTGCCTCAGGTGAATGGAGTCGTCTTATGGCTGCAATCTGGCTAGGATGAAGATCTTGACATTGTGTACAAAGATGAAAAGAAATAGCAAAGCAGCAGTATTTATTTTCAGGATTGCGACAAATCGCGATCGAGTACTTCATTAAACTTTCGATTCTTGGTTTTGCCAGTGCTTGGTACAGTTCTGACAACTCTAGGCATGAGCTTGGCCCTGCTTGTTCTTCGATAATCTGCACAAATGGAGCAACCAGTTTCTTTGCAGCAATAGTGTAGGGTTTGGGCCACGAAGTTTGTTATTGCTACTGAGTGGCTCTTACACAGGAGCTATCCGTTTGTTAAAGACCACTGTTCCATCCTTTGGATCAATCTGCGGTTCCTTGATGAGAACTCGGGAAGTGTCCCGAAACTGAAACTGGGATCGACCCGTCAATGGTAAAAGATGTGATTCACCATTCGATCCTGTAATGTTGATGCGTTTTGGGCTTTCAAATCTCGACGAACAGGAAGTACTAGTAGTACTGGATGAGTGATCCGTTGTAGATGAACTCGTAGAGGTGGTAGACTGACGTCGGTATCGGCGCTTAGGCCGCCGACATTTGGTCTTTTCGAAATTCCTGGCTATGGCTACGACGAGAACTGAAACTGAAATGGTCTTGCAGCGGATGCACAAGAGGCTTGGGTGAAACATGCAACAAGCACTGACTTTGGCGTCCTGATCCTGTCTTGCCATGCAAAACAACGCAGATACCGGTAAAAGAGCTATTTGACTCGGGAAGCTGCATTACTAAAATATGAGAAAGCACTGATACTGGCACTGGCCGCGGTTTGCGTGCAGCTCTTAAAGTAGTGCCATGTGCGGCATGGGCTTCAGCTAGCAACTGTGTCATCGGCTGTAGGTGGGCCGGATGGTTCTTGCATGCTTTGATGCTGAGCTTCCTCTTGGAGAGCCGTTTCATGAGCCATCCACCGTTGCTCAGATGCAGAAACTCTAGGGAGGAGGTAAGGATCATCTCTTGATGATTCATGCTCCTCCCTTCCTGACTCTGTTGAAAATCTCGTCCAATCACCCCAATGGTTAAAGGAAACGACAGGTGGGGAGTTTAGGGTATATATAGCTTCTATAAGGCTTCTATAAGGTACATAGACCTTCTATAAAGGCTCCTATAATGGTAACTACCCACCTGAAATGTCCTAGAAATGGTCTTCAAGTGCTAGGGGAGAGGCAGCAGCACTTGCAGGCTTAGAAACTGCATGAGGCCAAAGGATCAGGAACTGATGGTTCCTGAGATTGAAGCGATTAATCTGCTGCGCTGAGTAGTGCCAAAAACCACACAACGTCTATTCTGGCACAACAGGCCCTCACTGCTCATCGCCGGACCGAAGACGGCGAATGGATTAATGGGTGGAAACGACAAAGATGATTCTCGTGAGCGACGTTGGAACTTTTGGACCGAACATGTGCAGTGGACTGGTGTCCGCCGAACGTTATCCCGCAGCAACGTTTAGTGGAGTGATGCAATTTGCTTACGAATTGCTGGACTTGTCGCAGACTCGGCCATAAACGGAAATGGAATCACTTTTGGCCGGAACGCTGGCCACGTCTAGTGGGTAGAACTCTACCCAAGGTGAAAATGCGAATGACTCCGAGATGATCGGTGCCATGCATCTATGTGTAGCAGACCTGATCTTGTTTGGGAGGTCCTGGCATATGCTGAAGAGGAAGCTTGTGAACAGTTACATCTTGAACCGGGTTGGTCCAATGTGTAGCTGTAGCTTGAGGAAGAAAGTGATGCTCATAGTCAGTTTTGCTTCGCAAAACCGCTTGTGCCGGCAGTTTGAGCTGTTTGAGTCAGATCCTGAAGGCCGTTGGGGCTACAGAAAAGCGAGCATAGAGAAACTTCACGCATAAATCCACTTCGGAGCTTTTGATAGACTCGCTGGGTCACATCACATCCATTCAAAATCTCTGCGTGTTTGCACAGTTCTCATGCAGCCGCAGCTGAAGATCGGCCGATGTCTTCGGTGGTGGCTTTGCAAATAACGGGCCACCATGCAACAATACTGAGAAATGGAAGTCAAGCCTTGATTGAAAAATCCTGTAGCAGCATGACCTGGATGTAAAGACTCCAGTCGCGTTCAAATGGTATTCAAGTCGGTACCGCGAATAGCACGCAACTCATCTTTGTCATCAGGGCACTGTGTTGGCAGAGCCTTGGGCTGACTTTCCGCTGGCGTCCTAGACTGCTGCGGTTGCGGTGCAGGTGGGTTGGTGGTGTTTGTCGTCGTGTTTCCGCGGTGATTGATGTGGTGAGATAACGTGCTATCTTCACACAGACACACAGACATACATACATGCATACATGCATGCATACATACATGTGAATGAATATATATATATATGTATACATATACATATAGAGAGAGAGA